CTCAGCCCCGGGGTGGCCGGGCCGGTGCGGGGGGGACAGAGCTGGGCCACCGACGCCGGCCTCACGGAGGCTGGCCAGGCCCGTAGCCCCTGCGCTCTCCCGCCCACGGTCAGGGTTGGGATCACACCCCTGTGTTCCAGGGTTTGAAGCAGAAATAAAGGCTTTTCTTGGTAGTGGGCACGCTTGGTGGGGACTCGAGGGGCTGAGAGCCATACTGGTTCTGCCAGTGCCCTTCCAGACAGCTGGGAGCCCAAGCTGACCAGCCAGGCACTAAGTGAGAGACCGCTTGGGTGTTCTGTGTGGGGCGGAGGTCAGGGCAGCTGGGGGGCTCCCCAGGGGCGCTAGTGTTTGCCCTTTGGGCCCCCTACTCTGCCTCAGCCAGGGTTGCCCAGGCAGGACCAGCTTCCTGGAGGTCCCCTCGCCACCCCTCCTGCAGCCCTGGCTGGACCTGAGGGCAGGAGTCTTGCTATCATCTCCCTCTCCCCTGGGTACATAGGGCATAGGAATGGTATAGGGGGAGGGTGCCCTGTTCCAAACTGGATCTCATTAATACCTACAAAAGTCCCATTTTACAGGTGAGGTAACTGAGGTGTGAAAGGAAGTGCCCAAGGCTATAACGGGATCCCTGAGGCGGGGAATCTCCCAAACTAGACACAGAGCCCACGTGGGAGATTAGGTGGCACCTTTTCCTGGGCCACGTGAGGGTCCTGTCTCTCCATAGGGCCCGGCGACATTGTCTCTTGGCTCTGCCCCACTGCTGCAGGACAGGGGAGCCCTGCTGCCTGGTCAGGTTTGCATGGGGGCAGAAACCTGATCGCTGGCTCGGCCCACTCCCCAGGTGTGCCATCCTCCCACCCTGGCAAGCCTGATCATGAGGCCTGAGGAACCTGAGGGCCTAGCAGGGGGCAGAGTGGCATAAATGTTAGCTCAACAAAGCACACAGGCCCAGGCAGGGTGGGACCAGGCCCGGGGAGCACAAACGGGGAGGCAGGAGACAGAGGCCCTCTGTTCCTTCCTGAAGGCCTTGCTAACCTCCTGGATACATAAGGCACCTTCTCCAACCCTCCTTTCTTGTGAAAATAGCTCCCCCTGCTCCCCACATAGGGGAGGTGGGAGGCTGAGGCGCCCAAGTGTGCTGGCAGCCTGGGAGTCGGCTTTAACTTTAGCCTCGTCACCCCTGGGCGCCACACACAGGCCCAGGGCGTCTCCGTGGGCCTTCCCCAGGTCTGCAGCTTGGGAGAGGTGTCGGACTGTCCTTCAAGGCCCCTCCTGTCTGGTCCCCAGGCGGTAGGAAAAGGGGGGCATTTTACAGGAAATGTTGTCAGGACTTGCCCACACCTGGAATGAAGGGCAAGGCGCCTGAGTGAGCAGGTGCGACTTCCAGGTGCCCACTGTGGAACGCTGGGTGGGCAACCGAGCCACGCACAGACGTTTCATCTGCACCCCTCCCAGGCAGCGAGTGCGACGCCCACGTAAACACAACTTTCCAAGGTCCCACAGCTGACAAACAGCTGAGCTAGGAATCCCAGGTGTGCCCAAGACCCAAGCGTGGCAGTGCCCACGATGCCACCCTGGAGCTCACCATGTGACAGGGCAGGTGTTGGGTGGAGGCCACTCAATCTGAGGTGCCAGGACCTGGATGTGCCCCTGAGCTGGAAGGAGGTGGGTGAGACCCAGGGAGGGAGCCCCGTGGGGGCGGGCAGAGCATCTCGACCCCGTCCTGGAACAGCTCAGGAACCTGCAGTCACCAACCCTGAGCCTTAAACCCAGCAGGGCCCCAGCCCACCACGGACACTCGCCCACATTGACGGTAATGGTCCTCTGGTGCCAGAGACAGACGCCCACCTGGGGTTAAGCCCTGCCCCTTCCCCCTCACTGCCCAATGGGCTTCCAGGATGGGTCACCCCTTCTTGGCAGTACTCACCTTGGAGCGACTGAGGCTCAGATGGGGGCACTGTCTCCTGCCAGGCCCACAGCCGGTTAGGGGCACAGGATGGAGCCCAGGCCCCCTGCCCTCAGAGCCCTCTGTCCTGGAGCCAGCCGCAGTATAGGTGGGATTTGCCACCTCTGGCCTCTGCATTCGGGGTGAGAGGGCCTGGCCCCCCAGGAATGTTGAGGACAGGCAAGCATCTAGCGATCAGGGTCCTTGTCCTGCCTTCCCGACCTGGGACCAGGTCCTCCACTGAGGTGAACCCACGGATCCCACAGCAGCCCTATTTGGCAGAGGAGTCAACGGGCTCAGAGTCAGAGGTGTCTCTCTCAAGATTGTGCAGCCAAGCTCCTGGCAGCCACCTCCAGTCCGCCTTCCCCTGGCCCAGGCCAGACCAGCCCTTGCCCCAGGCTCCTCTGAGAGGCAGGGGCTTTTCCAAAGGGATTTACCAGAATGTTGGAGGGAAACAACATGGAGATAGAATAAAGGAAACATTTCAGCCTCTTGCTGAAGGGTGGTCACAGGCTTAGGCAGATGAGGGGTGCTGGGACTCGGGGAGATGTCCAGGAGCAATCCCCAGGCCCTGGGCACCACCAACTTTTCAGGGACCTGCCTCTTGAGTGGAGATGACCCACAATTGGAGGTTCCAGGATGTGCCCTGTGAGCTGGGGTGCACAAGAGTCAGACTGAGGGTCCCCCAGGTCCTGCCACCCCAGAATAACTCCATCTTCAGAGGCAGAAAACTGGGCTGGAGGCCTGGTCTCTCTCTCTCTCTCGCCAGCTGTGTGGTCATGAGTAGGTTCCTGCTTTTCTCTGAGTCAGTGTCCCAATGCAACCTGGATAGAGATCATCTACCCCACAGGTCTCCCGGCAGGACAGAGGTGCCCCAGGACCTCCACTCAGTAGCCCTGGGAGGTCATCTCGTGGGGATGGGCCCTCTGTCTCTTGAATTGTGCTTGCCCCTCCCATCTGTCAGTCTCTGACTGTTAGTGACACACGGAATGGGGGCCAGCGAGCAGGCCAGCCTGAGCGAAGAGGAAAGGCCCACCCAACCAGCTGGGTGTCTCATGGGCTTGAACTGGGACTCTCATGACCCCACTTCACAGAGGGGAGCCCAGAGCTCAGGGGGCTAATGGCTCAGGTGGTAAACCAGAGGGCTTCCTGGAGGAGGTGCTGGCATCTCTGAGGTCAACTTGGCCCACCTGCAGATGGCAGTGGGGTGCTACAGCATCTCAGGTGCCTTACAATCTGTTATGGGCTGGATTTTGTTCTCATAAAATTCTTATGTTGAAGTCCTAACTCCCAGTAACTCAGAATGTGACTGTATTTGGAGATAGGGTCTTTAAGCACGGTTAAGATGAGGCCAGGAGGTGGGTCCTAATCCAATATGACCGGTGTCCTTATAAGAAGAAGGCACCAACACACACAGAAGGAATTCCATGTGAAGACACAGGAAGAAGACAGCTACCTACAAGCCGAGGAGAGAGGGCTCAGGAGAAGGCTGCCCTGCACGCCCCTGGATCTCCGACTTCCAGCCTCCAGGACTGTGAGAATAAATGTCTGTTGCTTAAGCCGCCCAGCCTGTGGTTCTGTGCTTGGCAGCCTTCGGGCACCAACCCACAAGTTTGTCTCTGTTCTCCCAGCACCCAGCCCAGGGCACCTCCCCTGCTTCGCG